CTGCGGCTGCTGCTGCTACCTTTGTCCCTGCTCGTCAACTTAATCTAGCCATCTTTGTCTTTGAGGTTGCTACTAGGGGCTGTGTCTTTCCTTCTTTGGTCGGTCGTCTAATTATCTACACGACTCCAGGGTTTATAGCGGTTTTTCTCCTCGGTCTCGACAGCTTTGTCTTCCCTAATCGTCGCTGCTGATCATTAAGTACTACTAGCTTATCATCCTCTGTTTCAGTTCAGATTGCTTGCAACGCTGCTGGGTCAAACTGGACTCAAGCTCCGATCGGCCTTGCAAGGCCTGTGCCGGGCAGCTAAATCGGTCCGACAAGCGTTGTCTTTTTTGTCGTTGTTTTCTAGCTGTCGGCAGGCTCACAGCGGTCGTTGTAGCCGTAGTAGAAAACGGAAGAAAAGACAGAGATAGGTTATGGCAACAGCAAGAGTCAGCACAATTACCGCGAAACTGTCATGACACTCACCAACTCCTTTTGTTCATTTCGGTAAATTGGCAGATATTTACGCGGCGGCTTGAGATCTATATCGGCCGTCTTCCACGCAACTCACCACAGACAAAAATATGCTTTTTGCTATCTTCATCCCGCCAGCGGTGTTTCGTCGAGAGCGCGAACGATTGTAGCAGAGGAGCTTGCTCATCTTCATTTGTGTCCGGCTCTGTGGGAGTGCGTGTATCAATGGTGAAAGCGTGAAGTAATGACAGAGATCAGTACAGCCATCGTGCTGACATAGAGGACAATCAGCTTAATAGCGAACTAATTCGTTTTATAGAGGAATATCTTTTCACTGATTTCGGAGAAGAGACAAAGAAACTAGAAAAGGAAAAAGGAGCGGAAAAAACGGCAGGATCATTCAACCTTCTGCTGAAATGAATTCAACGGTAGTCAAGATCGCGATAGATTTCAACATCCTATTAATAGCAGCTGCAATGACTATTATGTGGAATATCAAAATATAACCTAGGGTTACCTTGAACTTATCCAATAGTTAATCAACCTCCTAATGACAACCACAAGCATCTTTCTTAAATTAACAATATATTCCGATAACAAATGAGTAAGTTGTACGCCTAGGAGAAGTATGTGGATATCTAATCGAGTATTTTTTATTAAGCGAAAGTCATTTCGAGATCAATGGGGGAATACAGTTAGCATCAAGCAATACGCTAACTTTCGCACGTTACGGATGCTCGTTATAGTACTGCTGCATGCACTATACAACTGTGGTCCTTAGGAACTTACATATTTATTAACAGCTCTGCCTCAACAGCGCCGGGAGCCTTGGCTACTTAAGGGCTGTATATTGCCATAACTGTTGGCCAAACGCCTCCCAAATTTCTGTGACACAATGCCATGGGCCTGAGAGATGTTAGTTGTGCTGGCCTACCAGGATTATGGCGGTTTACCTTACGTTTGGCCATTAAGATAATTCTCCTATGAATGGAAAATTAATAAGTTCTTTAACTTGAAACCTTGATTCTTTATTGACCAAAGTATTGTTTCATACACAACGTCGAATTTAGTTAGATATATACTTGCAGCTACAACAAGTAGCTGCGCCTAGATTGCGTATCATTTGCGTTAATCAGTTGCATTTTTATCGACTTGTAGGATTAACATAGGCCTATAGGCATACATCTCAGGAACCATCGGTTCATGTAAACGTTGTAGGTATTAGAGGTGATTATCAGCATTGCACTGAGATGACTTTTGGCGGTTTTTTGTTCTTTTAAAATTGAAATATATGTTTATTGCCTTGAAGAGATCGTTAACAATAGCATAAATCTTTTGCTAGCACACAATAACATCTATCACTTTGTAAAAAGGATCTAGTTTGCTTTCGGCAGTCAGGAACCTGGTTCCAAAGCCTAGGCCTGAAGAGGTCAGTCTGGGCAAGCGCCTATTAGCCTTCTTTCTTTTTGTAAATTCTGGTTTGGATACACGACATTGCCGTTCATCGATTTTAGTTACGTAACACAATATTAACAGGTGATTATTAGTTTGCTGCCATAGAAATGGGGTAAGTTCTTTAAGCCTTGAAAATTAATCTTTAAAGACCTGGGCAACATTTCTAATACGGTTTTGTCGCGTAAACTATGAACCAACACCAAAATGTTGTTGAAACTTCGAGGTGCTTCTGACTAACGAATTTAGATTTGCGAACCGTTTTTGTTTTTGATTTATTTTCCACGGTCCCGTTTCCGCGAAACCTGATATATTCGACCTTCTGTAGGGTTCATCACTTCGATAATAGCAATAATAGTATCAGCTCCGTTGGTTGAAGGTACCATCTTGCTGGCCAATGGACCAAAAAAAGGGAGGACATCTTAGATAATGTAGGCATATTTACGAACGTCGTTTGCAGTGATCGCTAAGGGGCACTTCATTCTCTCAAGGGTACAAGAAAGATCCATTCTTTCAAAACACGATGACGGGGGCGATGCATCAAAGCGTTAGACCTGAAGATCCTTAAGGAGAAACTTAGTGCAAAGGTTTTTAGGCAAATTGTTTGCGTTCGTGACCATCCTTCGTTCGGCACTCCTTGCCCGGAACAGAAGGTTCGAGCAGTCACCATACCTTTCTAGAACTCTTCTGCATTGAGTCATTGCGTTATCAATTACCGTCTGTGAGACTGGCTCTCAGGAACCTTTCGCGGGCAGTGATAGCTGACCCCGCCGCACAACAAGAGTAAAGATGGAGGAGATTATAAAGACAGTAGGAGAAAAAGGCGGAAGGGAAACACAAGGGGAATGTACCGGAAAGAACGGATTCTGGTATGCATACTTTCCTCTTACACGTATAAATATATTTCTGGATGTAAGCAAATTAACTGACAGAGAAGCCGCATTTCGTCTATCTCGACAAGAAGAACTAGAACTCGGTAGCAATACGGGCCCAGTGTATGGGCCCTGGCTTACCGAGTATGTTCAACCATAGGTGCAAGAGAGTGATGGGGAATCCAGTAGAGAAATACGTCGCGATGTTTCAACGCAAAACCGCGATATAAGAGCAGCTGAAATAGAGCACATGAGCAAACCGATTGACAGAAAACAGTTGAAGTCTCTACTGTTGTCGTTGCTCTTCCAATTGCTAATCGTTGCTGTCTAGCTAGCTACCTTGCGTACTGTCCCACTAAGAGAGGCGAAGGAAATTTGGTGAATTGAATGGAAAGAATATTTACAAGCGAACGTTTTCGGCAGCGTCCACGGAGGTTCAGGAATAGACAGACAAGAAGAGAGGGCGTAGCTGTACCGAATAGCGTAACGTCGAAGCCACCACCAGCGGATCGTGCTCTGAAGGAAGTGGGCACTACTAACTGTTCTGTTCGAGTGTTTGCATCCAGTGCGGCCCGCCACGGATCCAGCTGTTCCGCTGAAGCAATCCTAAATATAGAAGACTAAAGAAAGTCCTATCGTCCTAGTCCCTGTTGCAGGCTAAACCAACAGCAGTTTTGCATTAGGTTCCCTCTTTTCTTTACCGTTCTCAACTCCAAGTTCCAGTTCACTCTCCAGTCGTCGCAGCCGCGAGCGGCAGTAGCCAGAACACTGGGCTGGCAAAGGAGACCTACTCCTACTGCCGTTACTGTTTCTGTTGGTGTACTTGATAGTCAGCCACCTAGAAGACACCTTTCAGCGTCGATTACCAGCACCATTGCTATCCACGTGGCCAAATGCGGACAGCTAATGCTAGAGAACCGGTCGTTACCATCGACAATGCTATGAGGGATACCCCCAGCTCTAATGGTCTTCCGAACAGCCTCTTGAGTGGGCGGCAGGAGTTGCAGGCTCGTCAGGCGATTGAGGAGAAAGCAGGTTACCAGGGAAACTAGAAGGAGAGAGGAGCGCCTAGGGGAAAGAGGTGAGCAGGCTGGAAGCGTTGGCAAACACCAGCGCAAGGAAGGATCTTAGGGAATTGACAGACGGCAGATAGGGACTGAAGTTGGAAGCAAAAGAAAAGCTGGAAGACGGAAAAGAAGAAGGCGAAGGAAAAGGAGATAGAAACTTAATAAAAATTTTCATTTCAACAGACGGCTGTGCTCACACTAGCTGCGTATAAGAAGATACACATTGGCATACATAAATGCGCTACCTCACACTCACACGCACATGGTATCCAGCCACTGACCTAGCAGGCGGAAAATTAGGCATCAGTTTACTGAACAATACACACGAAGGCAGGAGGAAATGTGGGAGAAGGGGAAAAAGAAGAGTTCGACCCCGCGACTGAAATCGAACTGCCTAGTCAGCTAGCTATCCAAAAGAGAGTACACTCAGGTATCGAAGAGAAATTCCAGATCAAGAACTTTAGTTACAAGTCACTTTGTTCCAAAGTCGGCGTTTGCTTACTGGCGTTCTAACACACAGACGTTTAGCCCGCATACGGGAATTATTTAATCGATGTTCCATATCAAACAAGATACTAAGTATTCGGGCATAGAGGTAGACTGATACTAGTAATACTAACGAAACTAACCTAGCTCTTTTTTGTGTTAAATATTTTAGTAGAAAGCAAAAGTAGTAGAAGCTGTTACCATTAATAGTCAATAGCAATGCCTGATAAGTTCGTTTTGGCTTGTTACAAGGTTACGGGACGTTTGAAGGAACTTAATTTTTGTACAGGTGTATAAAGTACACTTTGTGTTATTTGTTTTATACTATTTTTATCGAAAAGTAATTATCAAAAAAAAAAAAAAGAATATATCAGATGTGTTCGTTTGACTTTGTTCGTCTTAAGGCTTATTAATTCAATTTCGCTTGTTTCAAATCACGTGCGTATCAGTAGACTTAACATAATTATTCTTAATCATATAAGCGATTCGCGAAAAACAAAACAGGAACAATATTTAAGCATTTTTACTGCCATTCAGCTTACTTATGAAGCATTTCAAGTTTTAAACGGACTGTGCAGTTAAAAGGTTTGCCCAGACCACTATCGATAGTATAAGACGAACTGGGTGATTTGTGTCTTTTTCGGTTGGGTACTGCTCTGTTTGCAGCCTGTCGGAGAGAGGACGCACGGTGCACGCCAATAACAACGTTTTACACCATGAACAGCTGAAGATGGAAAAACGGGTTTGACTTGAACAAATTTTCTGAGCGGAGTTTCCCCTATATTACCAGAAGCATGTCGTAGATCGTACCTCTTTCATGGTTCCAAACTCCTCACCGAAGTCTACATCTCACATTCGCTTCTTAAGGCTTCTAGGTAATGATGCATGTGTGTGCACCGTAAAGTTTTGCGAGTCACGACGAGGTCGTGTTGGATCGTGCGATGTAGAGATGGGAAGGAGAAGCGAGGTAAAGAACTGTGAAAGGTTGCGAAGGTCCGCAAGTGCCGTAAGAAGATCCCCTTCTAAATAGCACCAAAACTCCCCTACAGATCAATCCCCAAAACTATATTCCTTTTTCCCGTTGAGGGTTGAATCGTCGTGGATTGAGTATTCATCCTGAACTACGCTCTCAGCTTGACCTTAAGGCGGGTTGGCGGTTTTATAGATCATTCTTTCGTTTGCGAGAAAAGGAACAAAATTGAGCGAAAAGGAGAACGAAGAGCATAAAATTAAAAATTCCTCAACATTCAACCAACCAGCTATCGTCATTCAGCAGCACCACCTGCAGTGCTTGGTTACCAGACTTGTTCCGAAAGCAGTCGAACCGAGCAGCTCCTTATCCTAGAAAACTGCTGGCCTGATTCTTTCCAACGGGATCAGCGGCTACAAGGAAAAAGAAAAAGTGGGACGTTGGAACCAGTCCGCTGCAGGGCGGAAAGCCAAAGTTGAGCCCAATTCAACTCGAACCGAAGTTTGGCATGAAGGCCTACCGCCACCCTTCTCATACATGCGAGAGTAGTGCAGTCGTATTGAACTTGAGGGCTGTTAGTTCACCAAATGACGGACGAAGGTCCCAGAACAACTAGGCTTGATGGAATAGAGCTGAACATCTGACTTGAGATTTAGGCTAATTAGTTTAAGGCAGGTTATTTCTACTTTGCGAGGGCGGAACGTTTGAAGAATTGCAGTGACTCATTCGAAAGTTTCAAATATAAAAGATATTGAATAGCAGAAAGTCACTGACTAATGCTGGGCATATTTTGAGGGGGAGTATCATTTTTGTAGTCCTTGTTCTAAGTAGTGAATAGTGGTTTCAAAATGATGTGCGGGAAGTGTATATATGTAGTGTAGGCAAGAACTGATATGGAGCTCTTAGAAGGATGCTCGAGTAAATAGAGACAAATGACTTAAGTAAGAATCTTACAAATCAGAATAAAGTGCACTACATTGATGAGTTAAAGATGTTACGCACATTTGGTAAAAAAAAAAAAAAAAACAACTCTTTTTTTATAATCAATAGCTTTTATTACAGACAGCAGATAACTAGATGTGCTTTTTGTTGAGACAAAATGTTGAGAACACTGTTCGACTAGTTTAAATAGTATCGCAATTATTCTCTAGCACAGATATATGGATTTTTCTACTCACACGGGAATCATTTAGTGTCGAATAGGATGAACTTTACGCTGCGCGTGCTGCTCCAACTGACGGTATAGGACCAGGCCATCCCCTTCTGTTGCCATAGGCTGCTTCAACAACGTCTGCAGCCGTTATCGCTAGCCAGCTACTGCCGAAGCCCCCTTAACGTCATCAATGGTCATCTCGAATTGCACTAGGCAAGCAAACTCGTAGTGATACACGGAGAATACCGTGTTAATGCCATGGTGATATGGTGGCGACGACATAGACGTAAATATATCGTTTAATCGGAACCATCAGCAGCCTGGTGCCTTTCCCCTTTTGCTGAAAGCTTCGGCTTCCCCTTACAGAGATAGACGGCAGACGGCAAAGCAGACCGATCATCGAAGCTAAGATTACGTTTATCGTGGGACACCCACCAGTGCTGAATGCACCAACAAAAGTCCATCGGAGAGTCGCTGGTAGACGTGGACTGGGGGACACGGCCATCATTAGAGCTGACCAATTCGGCTGTAGCTAAGGGAGCCCGCTGAACAGTAGACAACAACTCTCCCAGCTATAGAGAAGAAATCATAAAGACGGTTATTATCACATGACTACACTGCTTGGTTGTCTTCTGTAGAAACAGAACCGCTATTACTGCGGCTGTGACACTGGTGATAGATGTTTCTTAGGATTGTGCGCCGTAGCAGAAGATGGCCGACCCGCATCAAGGCTTGAATTGGTGAGACTGGCAGTGAAACTAGTCGGCTCCCATCCAGAAGTACTTCAGTTTTACCGATTCGTTCTGTATGTTGCTTGTAAGGATACAAAAAAAATATCGATTTATTCGGGTCTACCGTAGCTGGTTGTTGACTCCGTTTGCAGCTTTCCTTCGCATCCACATTGATACATATATTAATATTTCTTTTAATTCGTAACGGCAACGTCTCTTCAGACACCGATCGCTTCATTCATTGTATATGTATATTTTCATGGAAAAACGTACGCTTACGAGGCATAAGGTTCTTTCTCGTAGCAGACCGCATATATATTCATGTTGCATTTCAATTATATAGCTAGGCACACTACATGCTCTGTCAAACTGTGGACTAGGACAAATAGTGTACTTTTACAGGCCTCACATTTCACCACCCAGTTCTACCAAAGGAGAAGGTGGGCAATGCGATAGTACAGGTTTCATTTTTCTCTCCCATTTTGTACTTACAGCCGAACATTCCAACTGGCGATTGTCGGATTCGTTCATCCGGTACAACAATGGTACCACCGCATATGCCGGATCGCTGTAAAAGTCACACGAAAAAACCGGTCGCCAGGACAACAGACGGTGACACATTTATGAACTATGAAAGTTCAAGCAGAGTGTTGGAGTTAACCTGTTTTCTTTGGCATTCCTGTTTTTCAAGGTAAACAGTCTTAGGCCCAAACAGCCGATTTGCGCAAGGAGGATTAGGGAAACGGCAAAGGCCCTATGAAGGCATGTGGCGGGCTCTGAGGCAAATGAATCGTAAATGATGCTGATTCCAGGACCCCCGTCTCGTTGATTCATTCGTATGTCGCTTGCGGTTAGTCGCACTGAGAGCCGCCCATACAGCCAGCAGTACTTTCTTGATGTAGCGGATGCGGTCAAATCAAACTAGAAAAAACGGGTCACAGATTTTTCCTACTAGAAAGCAACGGCGCCCTTGGGTTACTAACGTCCGACAGCACGCAAACTGACCAAACATCACAGCATCGTATTGTATGTCGTCAAGGTCATCGTAGCATACGAATATAGACCAGAAGGTAAGTCACTTCGTACTTATTATGGTACAAAGTAAGCGCATAACATATTATGGTACGTGGTACGTTCCTTATGCTTTTGCTGCGAAGGTGAGCGAGGAAGATCCAAGGCACTAAAGCTATCATATTGCCAGTTGGCTGATAGATAAAAGGCAAAGTCTGGGCAAAATTCTGCGGACTCTAAGACTTGTCGAGAGAATCGATTGTTGCATCTGTCAAGCTTATTTTCTGCTGTTACGGTAACGCCTCTATGCCAGATGCCCTGTGCCTACAGTCGCAACGCTATTTCGGCGAATGCTGACCCGCCAAACTGAACATCCATCTACATATACAGATCGGTCTTGAGTGATTGATTAATATTTTACTATCGTAATCCTTATCGAATCTGCCTATCTAAGCCTGCCATGCTAACTACGCCCGATTGGATAGAGTTGCCTCACCGCAGCGAGGCAAATGAAAGCAAAAAATTGACGCCTTGCCCCTCGTTAGGCATCAGAACCGCTGCATTCTCCTTTCGGCTTTGCTAATCTCTGTATATTTGACCCGCATCCATGCGTTTTATAGAGATATAGCATAGCATATCTTAAAAACTGGGCTTTACATGGACCATAAATGTACTCGCTTGAGAGAATATATTTCTGTTTTAACAACCTAGTAATAGGCTAGCATTAGATATTGTTTAGGACTTCAATGGTAGGTCGAATAGAGATCGGTGGTTATGTAAGCTAAAAATTAATACAATATTTTTTCTTATTTGTTCAGGTAGTCGTCAGAAACCTAAAATTAACAATAAAAAGCAAACACTAAGGAGTATCTCTTTTGTCTTTAATGTTACAATAACACCAAAATGAAACCTTTTTATGACATTTATAGTCCAAGCTTAATTATGGTGGTTTCCAAGGACAAATTGCTGTCTAGAAGATATAGGGACAGAAAAAACCATGACGGGGGTGCAATAATGTGAAAATCTGAGTACACACTTAATTCTGACATGTTTACACAAGACAAAATCATCCTTTACATTTTTTTGTCAGTCTTTTTCGATTTCTTTTGATTGCCCCTCCTTTTATGAAGTCTTTCCAGAACTAACATTCAACCCCAGGATTCTTGCGGTTCTTTCGTATTTTTTTTTAAAGTTAGGGAAAGATGATTGACTTTGATGTAATTGTGTGGGTAAGTAAAGAGGATTTCTCTGAAAGCAAAAGGCAGGCGGTCTCTTGCTGATGCCCGAAGTGTGCTTTTCTGTTATACCCATCTCCCAATGTCTCTCAGTCATTCTAGAAAAATATTAATTTTCCCTTATTTTTTTTCACACGACTGCGACGTTCGCACAACTTTCGAAGATTATTTAAGTTAAGTAAGTGATGTATTATCTTAAAAAATACGAAGGGCTTAAGCGAGACGGGTAGATTTGCACGTATAGAGTAAATTATGATCTGACCTGTATCTATTACAAATCCTACTTGATAATTTAGCTTATCGAATCGTAGGCTTTTTCCATTTTCATCGTTTGCCTTATCGTTTTGCTAGAGCACGGCATCTGCTCTCAAATTATTCGTTGCTCGCGCTTTGTTCGTTAAAAAAATTGGAAGTATTAACAGAGTCTCGAGTTCTACCGCTGTCTGCATATACGCATGCATGTAAAAGTCTATACATCAACTATTGTATGCTATACTTTTGTAATTCTTGATATTACCACTGTCACTGTTGCAATCTCTGCTGTCGATACTTTTTCGTTGCCTTTCTTGTGTTGTGTTTCGCACCCGAAATTGCCCCTTACGTTGAGAGTCGGCGTGAGGCCTGCCAGATGCTGACCCGGGTATCGAG